TATATATATAGACCCATGCACGCGTAAATGAGGCACGCTTCCCTCTCCTCATCTAAGCTGCCCCCTCCCCCATGCTTCTTCCGCTCACCCACTCACTCCTCTCTCTCTCCGTCCTCCCTCTCTCTCTCTCTCTCTCTGTCTGTCTGTCTCTCTGTGTCTTTCTCACACACACACGCGCGCGTATTCTCAGCGGCCCCCGAGCCCCCATTGAAAAGAACTACTCACTCTGACGAGTGCATGTGCGCTGAGCAACAAGTGGGTGATAATCTCTATATAACATTTCTTGTCCCAAAACAGACTCGTTTCACCTGTCGCCTGCCGTGAAAGGTTACCCGTATAGCAGGGATGAGCTATAAAACTTGGCTCGCTTTGCAGTAAAAACATTTGGAAGCGCTTTACTCCAAAGCAAAGTTTGTCAAAAAGAAAAGTTTGTATTCAACGGTTATTCTTATGGATAAAGACATAGCCGCATTCAAACGGATATTACATCGTCTCCAGTGCTCTGGCAGGAATTAAACGTTTGTCTCTTTTCGTTAACATATTATATTAGATTCATAGAATTGTTTTGTAAAGATGACGTTGAAAATGAGTATTTATTACTTTTAACACCCACCCCCCCAAAAAACAAAACAAAAAAACAAACAACAACAACAACAACAAACAAAAACAACAACAACAAACACAAAAACAAAGAACAAAAAAACAAAAAAACAAAACCACCAAACATACCCCCCCAAACAAATTAAAAAAAAATAAAAAAAAATTCAACAAACAACAAATCATGAACTGTTCGGTCCCTGGGGGAATGTACGAGCAGGGATCCAAAATTTACGGATAGTTATAATATTATTTAATACATCCTATACCAGGATATTCAGACAAAATTCGGCAAACTATAAAAATCTGGATCTTTCCGAAAAATCAGCACTTCTATAAAATAGAGGTTGAAACCTGAAGGATACTTCATGATCAGGGACAGCTCGATTCTAGTGGCGACAGCTTAATACCGACTCAAAAACGTAACTGACGCTACTTGCCTTTTAGTCATGTGCCCAAAAGAATTAAAACATTTCACCTTTTCAACAACAGGCAAGGCAAGGTATGACGTTTTTATCTTTCATGTTTTGGCTTACCTCGTAAAACTCGCTGGGGTTCTTCTTCGTTGTCCCTTCCATTGTTTCGCACATCTTTGGTGACATCATTTTCTGAATACCTCAGCAAAACCCACTGTATTATTTACAGTAGCATATTTCTTAGGAACAAAAACTTTCACCTTGTGCACATTCAAATAACCGCCAGACACGTTCGGTCATTACGGTCAAAGCACATCTGTAGAACTATGCATACCCAAAATAGTTTTCAATCGATCTAAAAAGTATTGTGATCAACGGTGACCAATAACTTCAAAAATTAAAAAAATTAAAAACTAACTAAACAAATAAATGAATAAATAATTAAATAAATAAAGAGATACAAATTAAGATATCA